CACTCACCTCAACCTCCCAAAGGCGTGGGATTACAGGCTGAGCCACCGAGCCCGGCTTGTATATATTTTTGTACATGTAGAGTATTTCTGGAACGGTCTTCTAATAAGTGAGAAACTGCCTGAGGATGACAGCTCTTTCTGAAGAACACATATCCCCCAGCACTGGGCAGTTGAAGGACTGGACAGTGTGCTGGAGAGAGATAGATGAAAGAGTGTTTCTGAGGCTGGGAATATAAACACTGGGAATGTATGATTGAAATTTGTAGCGTCAAGAAAGGTATAAGTTGGATACGCTTTAGTTTTCCTTTTATACCCTGAAATACTAGAACTAGAGGATGCTCATTAATCTTAAAGGAGCTATTTTATATAGGTAATATAACCACACTTAAGAAAAAGCAGCAACTTTCTTTTTTGTTATTTTGTTTTTAATTACATAGGTTGGTTATTTGTTTTTAGTTAAATACTTTAAACAGAAAATACTACAAAGGTTTATCAGAAAGAAAACAGGATGATGAAAATTCAAATAAATAGATTAATGATGGCAACTGTACCCCTAGGGTACAGAATATTGGAGACTTCGTGCCATTTCCCAAGTTTCACATTTCAGATTTTACACACTACAGAGCAGGCCTCAGCTGAATGACTTGCCTAAGGCTTTGTAACAGTTGCCTTAGTATTTGACAACTTTTGGCTTTTTTTTTTTTTTTTCTTGGAGTTGGAGTCTCACTCGGTCACCCAGATTGGAGTACAGTGGCCGCTGCTGGCCACCGCAGCCTCGACCTGCTGGGCTCTGGCGATCCTTCTGCCTCAGCCTTCCAAGTAGCCAGAATTACAGGCATGCGCTACCACACCCGGCTGATTTTTTGATTTAGAGATGTAGAGATGAGGTCTTGCTGCCCAGGCAGGTCTCGAGCCCGCGGGCTCAGGCAATGCACTCACCTCAGCCTCCCAAAGGTGTGGGATTACAGGCTGAGCCACCGAGCCCGGCTATCTTTTGGCATTTTTAAACTCCATGTTTGTTCTAAGCATTTTATGAGTCAGGTAGATTTGGGTACCTAACCCATCCTTTGGTAAACTTGTATCTTTGGACACGTCACTTCACTTCTTTGAGTCTCATTTTCTTGATCTGTAAAATGAGAGTAATAACAGTATTGACCTCAGGGTAATTGAGAGACTTCAGTGAGACAACATGTAAAGCATTTAACACAATGTCTCGGCACAGAGTGAGCACTCTGTGTCTGTCACCTGTCAGTGTTATTTGTAATCCTCCAAGATTCGTTGACTAGATAATACAGTTAGGGTCTATGTTTTTAGGAATATTTAAAACATCTTAGATTTGGAAGATAATAAACCATTTAACAGGATACTTCTAGAAAGACAGAATTTTTTTTTTTTTTTTTTTTGAGTTGGAGTCTGACTCTGTCGCCCAGACTGGAGTGCAGTGGCCGCTCCCGGGCCACTGCAGCCTCGACCTGCTGGGCTCTGGCGATCCTTCTGCTCAGCCTTCCAAGTAGCTGGAACTACAGGCGCGCGCTACCACGCCTGGCTAATTTTTTTTATTTATTGTAGAAATGAGGTCTTGCCAAGTTGCTCAGACGAGTCTTGAACCCGCGGAGTCAGGCAATCCACTCACCTAAGCCTCCCAAGGCTCGGGATTACAGGCTGAGCCACCAAGCCCAGCTTAAAGACAGAATTTAAACATAGAACAAAAAAGCAAAAACTAAGACTTAAGGTTTGTCAGTCATTGTGACCACTTGACAGGATTGTGACCACTTGACAGGATTCTGACCAAAAGGTTCATGTATATGGTAGTGGTCACATTAGCTGCCTGGGGAGAGGACTTTCCCACCAGTTCAGTGTACTAATTCCAAGATGTGTGCTAAAATTTTCTTCAATTGCCAGGCCAATTTTTATTGTATGTTTTGTTATCGAACCTATCTTGGTAACACAAGAGATTTACTTCATTTTTTTCTTTTAATTGTTAAACTGAATACTCAAAACTGAACATTGAAAAGGAGTTGGTTGTCCTCTTTCTCTGCTGTGGAGATCTCCAGCTTACCCAGTGAGTCTCTTCAGCTCCTGTTTTTACCCATTCACTGTGTAGAAGGGGAATGGAAAGTAGGAGCAAGTTTTTACTTAAAGCTGTTAGATACTTTTACAGAGAAATCAAGTTTTCTGATTTTTTTTGTGTCATGTTAAATAGTAGTTTTTGTGTTTTTGCAGGGGACAATCTTGGCCAACAGTACAACAGCCCACATGAAGTTATTGGCCGACGAGGTTCTGATATCATCATTGTAGGCCGGGGCATCACCTCTTCAGCTAATCGTCTGGAAACAGCAGAGGCGTACAGAAAGGCTGCCTGGGGAGCTTATTTGGGTAGACTTAGTGTTTGAGTGCTTCAGATCTGTGAAGTCACTGGTTTGAAATAATCAGCAGCCTTAATTACTGCGTGGATTCTTGGGTCCTATGTAGGAATGGCTTTTGGCGCTATCATGATCTTTAGGAAATGCTGCCTTGTAATCACTGCATTGTTGGTTTGTTTTTTAGTAGGGGTCTCACTCTGTTGCCCAGGCTGTAGTGCAGTGACAGACACATAGCTCACCACAGCCTCAACCTTCTGGACACAGGTGATCCTCAGCCTCCCAAGTAGCTGGGACTACAGGCACATGCCACCACGCCTAGCTGATTTTTCTATTTTTTAAAGAGACGAGGTTTCACTATGTCGCCCAAGCTGGTCTCAGACTCCTGGGCTCAATGGATCTTCCTGCCCTGACCTTCCAAAGTGTTGGGATTATAGGCATGGGCCACTGCACCCAGCTGGTCACTGCATTGTTACTATAAGAAGTTCATTTTCAAGCTTGCTTCTAATGAGACTGATGTTCATTAGGCATCAATCCTGTCTGTGCCAGGGCCTTCCATATTTGAGGATTCTTCCTATCTCTAGATAGGATTTACCTGCTTTTAAAAATTCTTTTAATTGTAGTGAGACAAAAATTTTAGGCTGTAAAGAGGCTAAAACTAACACAACTTTTCTTGTATCCTGTATTCTCTAATGTGTTGCTGAAATAATATCTAAATATTAGCCATTTTCTTTCTCCTTCTTCAGAGTAACTGTCTAGGTACCCAAATGGCGCTGGTTCCCAGAACTGCTGTTGCTCACTCCCCGGAGCTGACAAGGTAGAAAGAGGAAAATGACTGCAGCTCAGCGCCTCAGCTATTATCTGGCAAATAGAAAGGGGTTCTAGCATATTTCTAGATTTCTAGTTTTCTAGTTTCAGCAAATAGAAAGGGGTTCTAGCATATTTCTTCCCCTGGGCAGTTTCCTATGCCTGAATTCACAGTCAAGAGGTCTAAGCTTCACCTGGGTGTTTGCTTAAGGATCCACATATTGACCCAATTGTTGTTTGAGTTGGAGTCTCATTCCCTCGCCCAGGCTGGAGTGCAGTGGCACACTCAGGGCCACCCCAGCATCGACCTGCTGAGCTCTGGCGATCCTTCCACCTTAGCCTTCCAAGTAGCCAGAAGTACGGGCACACACTACCATGCCTGGCTAATTTTTTATTTTAGTGTAGAGACAAGGTCTCGCCAAGTTGCCCAGACTGGTCTTGAACCTGCGGGCTCAGGTAATCCACTCGCCTTGGCCTCCCAAAGTGCTAGGATTACAGGCTGAGCCACTGAGCCCGGCCCTAATTGTTGTTAATAGAGAGGGAAGTCAGCCTTCACTAGTGATAAAGACAAAAGAGCACATTCAAGGTGATGTCTGAGCAGGGCTGGGGTGAAGGCTGGCAGGGTTTTGATCACATCTGTGCTCACTGCTCCTCTGGGGCTCACCTGCTGACAGTGGCACATGGTCAGAGGACACTTGCCATTTCCCACCATGTCAGCTGTTCCACACAACTGTCCACTCCTCTCTCTCCAGTGACTCGAAGGAATGCCTGGGATTTCAACTTGGGTCTTACTACGTCCTCTCTGGAAGTTCTATTTCAAGAGCTTCTGCTATAAAGTCCACTTTGAGCTTCTGGTTCACAGTGCTGCATCTCCAGAGAAATTCCATTTTGGAAAAGGGACAAATTATCAGGGAAGAAGCGGCCTGAAGGAACCAGAAGGGGCTTGGCCCTCAGGTCTCACCTGGAGGAGCCGAAAGTCATGAAGGGGAGAATTTTCTGACAAAAACTTATAGGAATCTCTGTGGTGTCTTCAAAGTTGAGAAACCTTCAGAGTGATGTGTCGAGTTCTCAAGTGCCTGCTTCACTGGCTTACTAGGGTTCTCCCACTTCAGCAGGCATCAGAATCACCTGGAGTCTTGTTACAACAGGCCCTACTCCCAGCGTTTCTGACTCTGGGTAGCTCTGGGCTGCAACTTGAGAATTGGCATTTCTAGTAAGTTCCCAGGTGATACTGAGGCTGCTGGTGCAGGGACCAGACTTGGAGAACCACCGCACTGGTGAGTCACATACCTCTGCAGTGAGATGGTCTTGGGGTCCACCTCCCCCTCCTACTAGAGTCACATGCTCCTGTCTCCCCTTCAGGTATGCGGGCAGCCTGTCTCCAGGGCACTATGCTTGTCACTGTCACTGAACCTATTGTCCTGTTGTACCTGCTAGATAAGGGGAAATCAGAGGATCCCCCAAGGAATCACCTGGCGCTTGCCAGGTATGTAAAGTGCAGGTTTCCATACCCCCACCACCACCATCAGAGATTCTGCTTTGGCAGATTTGGGACTAGTCCAGCAACCTGGCGTCTGCATTTCTGCTGGGTGCCCCAGGTGATTTTGATGCTTATAAAGTGTGAGCCCAGTACTGCAGGCCTCTTACCTATGCAGAAGCCTAAACAACCTGGAGTCAAAACTTTCTAGAGAACAAGTTGATTCAAAGAAACACTTGGGCTATGAGTTCTGTTCTTCAGCACTGAAGTGTTTGCAGGCATTAGATAATTCAGCCCTTTCTCAGTCAAGGAATTTTTACAGAACATGTGCTACATGTGCTCTGAGCAGTGGAACACCTGGTTCTGGTGGGGTAACACAGGAACTGTCTCCACGGCGTGCCAAAATATATGGCTGATGAAGTGAGGAACTCCATCCATGGCCTCTGAGCGGCTCTAGGTGTTTTGCAGAACATAAGCCCATGGCTTCTAGGGCTGAAGGAACATAAGCCATCTCTGGCTCCCCTTTGTAACCTTGAAGTAGTGAGGGGATCTACCCAGTCCCAACTCTCACCCTCATGCTGATGTGAGTCACTGGAGGAAAAACTATCTCAAGTAGCCCCGGGGTCTGTCTGAAGCCTGTGTGCTTTAACTGTGCTGCAACTCTCCAGATCCAACCTGATTACCTGGAGGATTCACCAAGAATCATTCATCCTTCTGTCAGCCTTCCCAACCTTCATCTCTGGCTGCTTTCAGTGATCTTCTAAACAGATGCTTGGCTCTTTTCTCTTTTTTAAAGACAGCATCTTATTATGCCTAGGCTGGTCCTGAATTCCTGGGTTCAAACAGTCCTCCTGCCTTGGCCTGCCAAGAGGCTGAGATTACAGGTGTGAGCCACCATGCCTGGCCCATTTTCAGTAATTGACACTGGGTTCACTGTTGAAATACAGATTTATACAAGAGTTAAGCAGTCTAGGCACAGTGGCTTAGGAGGATCAGTTGAGCCCAGGAGACCAGCCTGGGCAACATAGTGAGACCCCTTCCCCCATCCCCATCTCTAAAAAAAGAACATTTTAAAAAAATTAAGCACAGTGACATGCACCTGTAGTCCCAGCTACCCAGGTGACTGAGGTGAGAGAATCGCTTGAACCCAGGAAGTCAAGCCAGCTATGATTGTGCCGCCTGGGTGACAGAGCCAGACCCTGACTTTAAAAAAAAACAAAAGAAAGAAAGAAAATTACTGAAAATGATAGTAACCTCATAGAGTCTCTAGTTTGGAGCCTTTGCTCTTTAACAGGTATAAATGATACCATGTCTTTAGTGCTAGGAAGGAATTTCTTTTTGAAAGACTCTGATATTTTTTTTTAAATGAGAAAAAAATCAGGACTTGGAATTCTTTTAATGTATTTTATAGTCAGTGCTGCTTTATTAAATGCTGGTTTTATTTTGGATTACAGGATGTGGCTACATTTTTCTTTTTTAGATTGGGGGCCTTTAATGGTAATCTGGCTTTGTATGAATTACCCTGCAATCCCTTTGTTTACCCTGCTGCCCTTCCAAGTTCACATTTGGCCTTTGTGCCTCGGGAGAGGCCACAATAGAAATATAAAGAGAAACAACATAATTCAAATATTTTTAACTTTTAAAGTTCAAGGCTTTGGCATAAGTACTGGTTCGGAAGAACAGTTGCCTAGCCCTCTCTCCTTTCTACCAAGGGAAGCAAACTTTCTTTGGACTGGAGAGAAGAACAGGAGGCAGAGGGTGGACCCTAAGAGTCAGGCCTGGTGTGGGCCCTCAGATTCCGTGGTTGTGTCCCACGGAGGGAGGAAGGGCGGCTGATGCCCAAAATAAGGGTGAGGAGCCGACAGTGGAGGAGTTCGGTACCTTGTTTTTCAGGGGATGCCAAGAGAGCAGTGAAGATCCAAGATCCCCCACCCCAGCTCAGCACGCAGTGGGCTCAGAGGTCATGTTTTGGGGGCAGAGCTGAGGTGGCTCTGGAGTGACTGGCAGAGAAGCCGACTTTTCCTGTCTTTCTGAAAAGAGCGCTTGAGTCAGCTGAAGAAACAGGCCTAGTGGTCCCAGCCATCATGTGAGGACACTTCCTTGGGAAGTGGAACGGGCCAGAAACCAAGGTTCTGATGAGGACAGCGGGTCTTTGCAGGTGCCATGGTGTAGTCAGCTCCCGACCCTGCCTCCCACACCATGGCGCCGCAGTCTCCCCTCAGCAGCCCTGCAGGGTGAGGTGTGGGGGTCCTGAGTGACTGACTTCAGTGAGACATACTGTCCTTTTTGACCTGGAACCTAGTAGTAATGTGTTTTCTGCCATCACTTAATGGACACATGAATGGATGATGTTGAGTTTTAAGAACACAAAATTAAAGCCAGGCTTGGTGGCTCAGCCTGTAATCCCAGCGCCTTGGGAGGCTGAGGTGAGTGGATTGCCTGAGCCCGCGGGTTCGAGATCCGCCCGGGCAACTTGGTGAGACCTCATCTCTACAATAAATAAAATCAGCCAGGCCTGGTAGCACATGCCTGTAATTCCGGCTACTCGGAAGGCTGAGGCGGAAGGATCGCTGGAGCCCAGCAGGTCGAGGCTGCAGTGGCCGAGAGCAGCCACTGCACTCCAGTCTGGGCGACAGAGTGAGACTCCAACTCAAAATAAATAAATAAATAAAAACACAAAATTACATTTTTGGGCAACCTGAATAGATGGCCTGAGCATTTCTGTTTACTTCATAGACTCTGCTTGGGAGAAAATAGCACAGGTAGTCTTCGGTCCCCTTCCCTCCCTCCTTTCTTCCCTCAGCCTCACCAGACCCCAAGCCCCTGTGGTCTCCTGTTGGGCTGAAGCCTTGCCTCTTTCTCACTTCTGTTGCCTTCTTCCCGTTATGACATCAGTTTCATCCAATAGTGGGCAAATCACAACCTAAATTAAGCCTAAAATCCTTGGCCTGAGCTAAAAAGAGACCCTAGGAACAGGTGCTGGGTGGAGGGGACCCCAGCACCCCTGACCTCCAGCCCTCCCAGATCCTTTGTGCAGCTTGTCCACCCACATGGAGATGTTCATACAAGGTACAACTCCACGACCCCACAACCCTCAGTTGATTGTGTTTTGTTCAGTGTGTTTTTAAAAATTGGTTTATGGGCCGGGCTCAGTGGCTCAGCCTGTAATCCCAGCACTTTGGCAGGCCGAGGTGAGTGGATTGCCTGAGCCCGAGGGTTCGAGACCCGCCTGGGCAACTTGGTGAGACCTCATCTCTACAGTAAATCTAAAAAAATTAGCCAGGCATGGTAGCACACACCTGTAATTCCAGCTACTTGGAAGGCTGAGGCGGAAGGATCGCTGGAACCCAGCAGGTTGAGGCTGCGGTGGCTGGGAGCAGCCACTGCGCTCCAGTCTGGGCGACAGAGTGAGACTCCAACTATAAAAAATGAAAATAAAAATTGGTTTATGATCACAGATCAGGACGTGACTGCCAACCAGCACACACATCAGCTCACACCATCGGGTTTACTGACGTGAACCATGAACTGGCGTGACACCTCAGGCTCTGCCCCCAACACATGACCTCTGAGCCCATTGTTTGCTGAACTAGAGCAACCTGGCATCTCCTGCACGGAAAGGAGGCTTTAAAGGATTGTGTTGTGCCAGGAACCATGATGTTTGTGTCAGTTGTCATCATCCTTCATTTTTTTAACGTTATTTTTTTTTTTAAAGTTGGAGTCTCACTCTGTCGCCCCGACTGGAGTGCAGTGGCCACTCCCAACCACTGCAACCTCAACCTGCTGGGCTCTGGCGATCCTTCCGCCTCAGCCTTGCAAGTAGCCGGAATTACAGGCGTGCACTACCACGCCCAGCTAATTTTTGAATTTATTGTAGAGATGAGGTCTCACCAAGTTGCCCGGGCGGGTCTCAAACCCGCAGGCTCAGGCAATCCACTCACCTCGGCCTCCCAGAGCGCTGGGATTACAGGCTGAGCTACCGAGCCCGGCTGTTAGTTACTTTCATTCAACAAAGTACCAGTCAACCAAGCTGAATGAACATTCCCTGTCCTTTTTAAAAATGGTGACAGCATAATCCCAATTTGGCTGACATTACATATATATGTATAGAAAAAAGACTAAGAAGTCATACACAAAAAGGTCAAGTGTAGTTTCCTCTGGTGTGTTTCAAAAGATTTCTACATTATGATTTTCTGCATTTTCCATCTTTTCCTTTTAGAATTTTGCAACTGGAAAAAAATTAATAAATAAAAATTGTAAGTACCATTTGGAAAGCTGTATTAGGATAAAAATAAATGGATTACAAAGGTAAACCACTCTCCCCTCTTTTCAGCACACAAACACACTTTAACCTTTCTAGATGAGTGCCAGGAAAGAATTTTTCCAGAGACCGCCAGGTGCGCCTTGCAGGGTCACATGGCACAAGGGCAGGTCCTTTTGCACTAGCCCAGCATGGGACGGGAAGGGTAGTGTCAGCCTTCGACTGAAGACAGCTTTGCAAACCCCCTGTAGCTCTGGACCCATCATCTGCCATCCCAGCAGCGGGGTGGGAGACCTCGGCCCCATAGCCGCTAAAGAACATTTCCAAAGGTCCATTTTGATAAAAACATTAAAAATTATAAAATGACAGATCTGGGGCTGGGTTGTAAAATGAGGCATTTGGATTAGAGGTGATCTTTGCAGTCATTTTCAGCTCACCAGACAACCTTAAAAAATCAGGGAATTTTAGATTGGAGTCGGAATCTAGGAAGTCAGGTCTTTAAACAGCTCCATCCCAAGAACTTCCAGCAGGGGGCAGCAGGGCACTGTGAGCGCTAGTTCCAGAAACACCCTCACTGTCCACATCGGGCAGAACCAGGAGTACATCATTCTTTGGGGGTCTGTGCCCTTACTGAGCTGCCTATAAAAAAATGAGATTTTGGGCCTGGCGTGGTGGCTCAAGCCTGTAAACCCAGCACTTTGGGAGGCTGAGGCGAGAGGATTGCCTGAGCCCAGGGGTTCGAGACCAGCCCGGACAACTTGGTGAGACTTCATCTCTACAATAAATAAAATTAGCTGGGCGTGGTAGCACGTGCCTGTAGTTCCAGCTTCTTGGAAGGCTGAGGTGGAAGGATCGCCTGAACCCAGCAGGTTGACGCAGGAGTGGCCATGAGTATGCCACTGCACTCCAGCCAGGGAGCTGGAGTGAGACTCCAACTCAAAAAAAAAAAGTGATTTTGGATCAGTTAATGATTTGTCTCCAGGAAACCCACAATTAAGCAGGAGAGAAACCTAAAGTGTCTTCCAGAATCATATTTTACTCAATTCAGAAATTCTCAAGACACTTTTATCTTTATTTTTTATTTACATTTGGCATTATTTCAACAAGGATTTAAGGCAGCCTCACCACGTTACAAGGTCTGTTTCACCCTATTTACGCAAGATGAAGGAAACGCAGAATCTGTTCCAATTTGCCCCAGGTAATAGGCCCTATTTAGTGATAGGCATTTGTCTTTCTTAGTGTTTCCAAAATGAAGGGGAACTTGGTCCAAGGATGAGGACAGGTGCATCTGAAATGAAAACACAGTAACCTTCAAGCAATGCCAATGGCAAAAAATGATTAGTGAAAGATTTTACAAGAAAGCAGCTATGCAGAGCCTGGCCCTCTGGCTGATGTGAGATGGCATCTTAGTTTGTCATTTGCTAACCTCCCGACACTTAGGCAAGTCATGCCCCGTCTTTGAGGATCAGTTTCCTTTTCTATAAAGGGATAGTGACAGATAACCCTGGGATCCCTTCTGTCTCAGATATGGGAAACTAAGGGAGCTTCACGGCCCTGCAGGGAAGAAAGCTGAAGTGGGTTTTGTGCGCTGGGCCTGCGTGGGATGTAGGAGTTGCGGAAGGCCTTGGAAGGGAACTGTCACTGATAATAAGGTATAAGAAGTGTCTTTGTGTGGGAGCCACAGCTCAACCCTCCTTCATCTGCGCAATCTGTTTCCAGCCTCAGCACCTTGGATCAGGGCAGGGACACCAGAAGGGGTGGCCTGCACGGTATCTAGCCCGGAACTGTCTTTTGGCAAAAGCCAGGAAGGGCCGAAGGCACCTGCTTGGGGCTCCCTTACACTTCCCCCAACCACCCTAGCCCCTCATGCTTGCTTGACAGCCTGGGTCTGGAGTATTGGACTGGCTTTCGTCCTGTCCTTGGGGAAGTACATGGCCATTTCCATCCCCACCGGGGCACCACTCAAGGCCGTGAGAAAGGGACACACACATTGTAGAGAATATCAGGCAAACACCAGCTCTTTTGGTTTTAATCTTTACTTCCAATCCCAACAATCTCTTTCTTTTTCATGACACAAGTACTAAACAAACGCGGACAGAAGAGGAACATTGACATTTGCAAGCTAGGTACCAGTCACAGGCATCTCAACAACCCTTTCACCAACACCTCTGTGCGAGGCACGGACACCAGGCAGGAAACTCTCAGTGATCAGAGCTACACCGTAAATGCGCGATCTTTTTATTGCATATAAAAATGATCAATGTGAAAAAGGTCGGACTGTAAGCTGGTCTCACACACACTGGCCCTTCTCAGTAGCCTTCTCATCTGGCTGGGCAGAGGCCTAGTCCTCCTGGAAAGCAGGGGAAGCCCAGCATCTCAGCAGTTCACTGAGACATCGAGCCGGGGAAGCTGAGAGCGTCCAGGTCCCCTTGCTTTTCCCGGGCTTGGAGGGGACGCCACCTCGTGTGGCTCCACACCTTGCCACGCAGGCAACGGGCTCCTTGCCCAGGCTGGCCGGAGGGTCTTCTCTGCGCTTGCCTAGGCAGGATCAAGTCGAGTAGCTGTTCAAGGCATTTCAGTCTGACTTTTCCGTGAGTACCCTTCTCAGCCCCAGGAGGAGGAGACATCAGTCCACTGTGCCATTGTAGGATTTGTTGAACTTGTTGAAGGTGAAATCCACAGTGTGTGTGGAGATGGGTTTCCTGTACAGAGGGTTTGAAGCCTACAGAACCCAGAAGGGAAGAGGACACAGAAGTTAGTTCATTCATTCAAACCCACAGCCTCAGGCCCCGGACGCCTTCCCAGGTCAGCCACCCAGTAAGCCAAGGCCAGGCCCAGGCAGTGCACAAAGGTGGGAGGTGACGACCTTGGGCTTCAGGACAGCTGTGTCCCTGGGAGAGTCCCTTGCCTTCTCCGCCTCCACTCTTCATCTCTGGAATGAGGGGTTGGGTAGGTGGTCTCTCAAGTCCCCTCCAGCTTTAGCAGAAACTAACTCTGGGGATTCAACGGCTGCCTACTGTGCGCTCAGTCCTTCAGGAACCTGCAGACTGCCTGGTGACGGGACTTAGGTGTATGAATACTGTAACAGACTAAAAGAAGCCGAGCTCTTTTCCTGTGGGTGTCTCTCCGAGACTGGTCAGACTTTTCCTGCTGCAGCTGTGCCTGGCACCTCGGCCTCCATGACACTTCTGATCTGGGCCTGGGGAAGGGCTCCGCACAGACCACTCCACACCGGGGCAGTGCAATTCTTGCTGCCCAGAACTGGGCACCACCTTTCAGGTGTTGATTCTTTGATTTTAATGCCAACGATGTCTGCAGACTTTTATCGCTAACGTAAGGCTGAACTCAGGCGTCTAGGCCCAAAGTCCCTTCTCCTTCCTGCTTCCTACCAGCTTACCATTTCATAGCGGGCCCTGGATCGCTCGCTCTGGAACTTTGCAAACTCCCTCCGGTCGTGGATGGTGACGAGCAGCTTCCAGATGGCCAGGAGGGCAATCCCGATCAGAAGGATGCTGCCGACCACAGCCAAGAGGATGGTCATGGCGTTGGGAGCGGTCCCACACTCTGGAGGGGACCAGGAGACATGGTGAGCAGAGCCACCAACATCACCACGCCCCTCCCCCAACCTCAGGCATGTCTGAAATGAAAGGTGCGCCCCTTCCAAGGGTCTTCCACCCCCACCCCCACCCTCACATTGTTTCTGGGAGACCTGGGGTGGGAGGCGGGGAGGTTTCCCCAACGTGCAGATTCCAAAAGGGACTGTTTCAAGGTCACACAGCAAGTTGGTGGCAAAGTAGGGATGAGGGCCCTGGTACCGGGCTGCATTTCCCCACATCCTAGCCCGGCCTGGCCTCCAGCAGAGGGCGCTAGACCACGGCTGAGCTCTCGTGTAAATGGTTTCGGGAGCAGACCAGGCAGGCAGGAGAGAGCATGAAGCCACTTCCACAAGACCTGGGCTGGGTGCCAACATTTGTCAGCCTTTAGTGTGGCATCCCTTGGAACAAATGTACTTATTTTCAAAGAACCGCAAAGACAGCACTTGGAAACAAAGCCTTACTCTTCCAGGCAAGCATCCTGGGCTACCACCACACACTTCCTTCTGCCTCTGGCCCCAGGAAGGCCACATTACATGGTTGGGCCCAATTTGGAAAAATTGTTTGCCACGCTATTGATTGAAGAGAGCAAATTTTTTTTTTGCTCCTTCATCCCCGCTAAGAAGAACATAAGGGGTGCTCTAAAAGTCCCAGTTACTCTAAGGCAAAGGCTATTGGTCCCTGGGTCCAAGCAGAGGCAGAATGTCAGTATTCATATTAAAGCTGAACTGAGCATGGCAGCAGACAGGAATGTTTAACACAATGCTCCATCTGTCCTTCTTAGAATCCACATTGGAAGCAGCACCGGCCTGGCCAGGGCTGAGTTCGTACCAGGATGCTCCCGAATGGGAGCAATGCCCCACCCAGCTCCGATGGTCCAGCCCCTCCCCAGCCCCTATTGTCCAGGTTCACCCTCCCTGGACACAGCAGCTCCCACCATCAGCTGTGCAGTCTACTTTCATCCTTTGCTCAGTATCCTCCAGGATGAGACCCTCCCCAGGGGCAGGGTCGTATCCTCCTGTGCCTCCCATTGTCCTGACCCCTGTCCCACCAAGCTCTGTCCCAGCAGTGGGTCTCCAGCTGTGCCACCATCTTTCTTCTAAACTCTAGGAGTAGGCAACGGTGGCCTCAGATCTGCTCTTCCTAAGGAATTCTATCCCTCCTCTCCCTGGCATTTAAAAAAGACATGAAGAAAAATGGGCAATGCCTCTAGAGGAGGAAATGGCATCAGCAATCAGAAGCCCAGGGCTGGCTGTGGAGGCCGAGCCCCTCACGGCCCTCACCCACCTGGCTCCCTGAGCACCGTCAGATTCGATTTCCCATTGGAGAGCTCAGCGTAGGTGAACATCATGACGCAGTCCTTGGCAGTTTTGTAGAAACACAGCACAGCCTCCTGGTCATCTTTCACTGCGAGAGAAGCAAGCAGGAATATCCTGTCCTGTGTGTCTCTCTGAGCAACCCAAGCTACTGATGGTCGGGGCAGGGAGACAAGCACCTCAAAGAAGGAAGGGGCCGGAGTGGGGGGGCAGACAGCCTTGATGGAGAGGCTGGGCATTTGACGAGGAGTTCGGGCTTCTCACTCAAGAACGCAGGCCCAGTGCTGAGCTTAGATGGCTCTGGGGACACGTGGAATGCATTAGAGGATCGTCAAACCTCTTCAGTGTTTGCTGGTGATAATATGAGATAAAAGAAACTTTGAATGGTTTGGGGGTGGGGTGGGGATGGGTGAGTGGAGTCTGCCATGGAAATGAAAGAGATAAAGAAAAGGAAGAGCCACCCTGTTCCTTTGCGGGGCCCAACCGAGTGAGAGTTCACATGGGGAAACAGCCCAGGCCACTCGGGGCTGAGGGCCAGCTGCAGAGGCCGAGTCAGCTCCTTCCTAGGACGTACAGTCAAAAAGAGCCACAGCGTGATGAGGACAGCTGGGCAGGAGACTGGGACCCACACCCTGAGGTAAAGTGAGCCAGTGCTGAGGTCAGGGCATTCCCAGGTCCAGCCCCCAACGCCACCGCCACTGGCCTCTCTCCTCATTCAGAAGTCCCTTCTTCAAGCTGCCTCGACTCCTCCCTGCCCCCACACCACATGAGCCCTGAGGTCCAGGCATTACCTGCATTCCAAGGCTCGGTGGGGGGTGGGGGTTAGAAGATGAATTTCTAGGAGGGAGAGGAACTAGGGGAAGCTAAGTTGGGAGCAAAGGATGAGGGAATTAGGCAGCCATGGCAAACTGGTCCTGAAGAGCAAGGCAAGGCTAATGTTCTGACGTGTGTGTTTCAGCTTTGCCCCTTTAACCCTGTTGCTCAAAGGAGCTCTAACCTGGAAGCAGACAAATGAGTGTGGTCATCGGACACGAAGGCCTGGACTTTTTCTCTCAGCCCCTAGTCATAGCCTGGACTGAGCAAATGTGAGTGTGTCATGTACATATGAAAAAAAGGCCTAAGCTGGACTCGGTGGCTCAGCCTGTAATCCCACACCTTTGGGAGGCTGAGGTGAGTGGATTGCTTGAGCCCGCGGGTTCGAGACCTGCCTGGACAGCGAGACCTCATCTCTACAATAAATTTAAAAAAAAAATCAGCCGGGCATGGTAGCGCACGCCTGTAGTTCCGGCTCCTCGGAAGGCTGAGGTGGAAGGATCGCCGGAGCCCAGCAGGTTGAGGCTGCAGTGGTCGGGAGCGGCCACTGCACTCCAGTCTGGGCGACCGAGTGAGAATCCAACTCAACAAAAAAAAAAGAAAAAAAGGCCTAGGAGAAGGCAGGCAAAGGGTACACGATGAATTTGAACATAAACTTTCTCTGCTAGTCCATCTCAGAGAGCGGGATTGGGAAGCAGCCATGCATGAATGGCTGTCATCACTACAAACCGAGCCAATCAATTCGTGGGATCCGGGAGGTGGCTTTTCCTTCTCTGATCACGTGTGCCTAGTTGGGGACAACTGGCCTGGGTCTGCAGGCAGAACCTGAGATCACTCCGGCCCTGTGCAGCAAAACAGATGCAGGGGCAGGAAGTTGGGCATGTGAGGGCCTGGACTGGGGCTCTCCACGACTCCCCAGGGGCAGACAACACCTGGTACACAGCTGGTGCTCAGTGAATGCATGCTGGATGCACACATGACTCAAGTACTCAGAAGCCATGGTTTGACAAAACAGCAAGCCAAAACCAGAGAGGCAGGAACAAGGAAGTCTACCGAAGAGGTACATCAGGACTAAGGCAGAGAGGCAGCAGGGGGTGGGATTGGGCAGAGTTTGCAGAAGCCAGATGTCAAGGTGGTGGGGAGCCTGCCATGCACATTCCCTTTCAAGGTATATAATCTTTCACTCCCCACGTTATTTTAACCATTTTGAAGTGCACAATCAGTGGTTTTAGTGAAGTCACCATGTTGTGCAACCATTCCCACTAGTTCTGGAACATTTCATCACCCCAGGAAGAGATTATCGCCGTCAATAGTCAATCCCAATTCCCTCCTCTCCCCAAGCACTGGCCACACCAATCTACTTCGCCAATCTACTTTCTGTCTCCATGGCTTTGCCTACATTGGACATTTCATCTAAACAGATTCACACGTGTCCTTTGCTGCCTGGCTTCTCTCACTTGGGTGCCATCTGCATGGCTCACTCACACGGCAGCACTGCCCACCTCTTTATGGCTCCGTGGCATTCAGTCATGTGGATAGATTGCACTGTTTTCATTTATCAGTTGATAGATATCTGTGTTGTTTCCAATTTCTGACTATGGTGAATAACATTGCTATGAAGATTTGTGTGGACATAAGGACCCCGTTCTCTTGGGCATATACCTGGGAGTGGACTTGTTGGATTGTGTGGTGGTTCTATATTTGACCTTTTAGGAAACTGCCAAGCAGATTTCCAAAGTGTCTGGACCACTGACACTCCCATTAGCAGTGGATAAGGGTTCTAGCATCGTGTCCTCGTGGGGAGCCCGCAGTCATGGTAAGGAAGCCTAGGCTGTGCTTCCCAACTCAAGGCTAAAACCACCCTCTCTCCACAAAGGAGAAAGTCTCAAGGTGCCTTCCAAGGTCCTAAGGGGGTGGCCACCTAGGGCCAGCCGGCACACTCACCGATGGTGTCCACCCACGTGATCACCTCGTCCTTGCACAGGGTTTGGCAGGTCTGATTGTCAGGTTTTCCTGAGTGAAGCAGCAAGCACTCAACACAATCTCTTTGGAAAAGAGGAAATAACGCAGGCATTAGACGCTACAGGACCGTCCCACACACAGCTCCCCACCTGGAAGGCTTTGGCGTCTTCAGATGTTCAGCCCCAGAGAATGTTTCTGCTTCTTGTTGTTACGGAGGGAAGCCTTTGGGCTCTTGGGGAGTGCATGTGATTCAGGCCTGTCCGGTCTACATGTCAAATCACAGACCTTTTGTATTCTGACACCAGGTGCTGGCTAAGGAGTCTGCTTCAAGCAAGAGGTTTCTGGGTAATTAAAAAACTGTATTTCCGTCCCGCCACCCCTGAAATCCTGGCACTCCCAAGGCCAGAGCATGATGCCTCCTCATGGTCCTAATTCCCAGAATCCCACCCTGGTCATCGCCCAGGGCAGGGGTCTCAACCTTCTGCACCTTAGACTCTCTGGGGTTCTGGAGAGAAATTCCAGTGCCCGGGCCCCACCACACCCATGGAATCCCCATCTCTGGGGTTGGGCCATCCCAGGTGATTTGGACAGATGTGCAAGGATCGCTGTCTGGGAGAAGCCCCCAGTCCCAGCCCCTTTCTCCATTCCAGACAGAGCCCACCTGCCAGGTTTCCCGGGTCCCTGCTGTCCACTTACCCCTTAACCGGTCTACACTAGATTTTAGCACAAGCTACAGGTTCCCCTCAGGGAACCCGTTTTATAGCAGGAGGCTTCACTTTGACTCCCTCTCCTCCCACCTCTGGCTGGCAGTTTAAATCCGATAGTGCATGAAAATATTTACAGAGTTCGGTTAAATGGTTATTATTGTACCTTCCACAGTCAAAACCCAGTTCCAGGTGTTCTCCCTCCATCTGAGGAGACATTAGGGAGCACAGGACCCCTGAGGACACAGGGTGGGGAAGCTCAGCTTTGGCCAAGGGATCGATGTGGCAGGGCGGGAGTCCCTGTCTCCTCTGGTGGGCTGGGGGATAGGGCTGAGCACACAGAGGATGGTGAGGTCCAAACTCTGGGCAGGAGTGGGTTGGGGTGAAACAACACAGCTGGCGTGTAACTCAAGGGACATTGTGATGCAGTGGCGCTCGGTGGTCTTCAAGGAGGCTGAGAGCTCCAGGAGTGGCCCCTCAGGAAACTGGGTTAAGACTCAAGAACTAGGTGTGCTAGGGAGGCCACCAGAGTGCAGGGATTGATCTCACAGAACCTCGGCTAAATGGGGGACAACTGTCCTGTCCACCCCATGGAGGCTGTGTGTCTGGAAAGCTCTGTCAAAAAATATAGAGGGACGTACTACCTCTATATATTATGAGCTGCCTATTTATCTGTTTTTTAATTCCTTGGGATTTAGGGGTCCATTACTAAATGTTTCCAGGGAAGAAACTGTGAAGTGAAATGTCAGAACCAGAAGGGAGCTCAGACACCGATTCAATGAGGCCCACATTTTACAGAGGAAACAAGGCTGGGAGGAGTCAAGGGTAGAACTGGGTGGGGCACCCAGGTGCCCAGCCTCTCAGATAGGGCCCACCCCAAGACTCTCATCACTTTCTGAACTTTAAGAAGAAATGGGCAAGTGGTGAGATAGAGAAAATGGATAAGACTTCCTGAACAGGGTCCCATATGCTTAAGAATTCAGCCATCCCAGAACCGGCCCCAACATTCCACTCTCTTGGGACTGGCTTCATGGAAGGGTTCTGGAGGTAGAAACAGCTGTAATGCTTGCTGGTCATAGCCCCAGAGAGCAGGCAACTGAGATTGGCTGGGGGGCCAGGAAGGGGCAGCGCCGGCTCTGGCCATTCATGCTGACCCAGCGGCTCCTCCGTCAGCCTCCAGGATTAGCATACTGCAAAAACGATGGCCGCTTCCACTTCCAGCCTGGAATCTCTGGGCCTGCCATCTGATGCTCTGCTGTTAAAGCACAGCTCCAGGCCACTTCCAGGAAATGTTGCCTAATTACCCATGTGGACACATCAGTCTAACTTGTATGTTCCATGTACTGGTTGAAAAGTATATTGCAATCATGTACTAAAATAAGTCTGCCCTTTAAAAAAAAAACGTTGTTTAGAGAGACTTTGCTCAGAGAGTCTCTTAATTGAAATCAGCTGGGGCTGAGTGTGAACTCACCCAAAGTGAAGGGTGTGTTTGGTTAGTTCTAGAAAATGGAGATTGACTGCCCTGAACCCCCAGGAAAAAAAAGGACACAGGACATTCAAAACTTGATGGCTCTTAGGGAAGCAGCAAGTGAAAAGAAAAAAAAAAAACACCCTGATAGAAGTCACTATCAAAAGGACTTTGTTTATACCAAAAGTTTCAACTAGGCTGTGAAAGAGACAGAGGGTCAGTGTGGCCCAGAGACAAACAAGGACCAGTGATGCTGCCTTATGGCATCTCTTTGCTCTTCTTGCTCCTTTGGTATCATGCTACGGATAATAAATCTTCAGATCAATGACTTCTAGAAAATAAATACTTTAAACACTCAAAGCTCCGGTTGTTTTCCCCTGAGCCTAAATCAACTTACCTAAAGCCAACCCAGCAGCTCCACAGGAAAGAAAGCTGGGGCCTTATCTCCTTTTATGGATTCCCTGAGTGTTATCTTAGCTTGGCCTCGGTGCCCCAAGGACAGGGAGCAGAGACTCAAAAAGGTTCTGCCGGTGGGAGCTGGGGGTGGGGGCACCTCCCTCAGGCACAGAATGTTGGTAAAGCGGAGTCCATGCTTAAATGGATACAGTCATTTGGGCTCCAGACCCAGGACCCTAACCTCCTTCCCTGGCCGTTTCTAGTTGCATCTCGGTTGTGTCTCTGCTCTCAGCAGATCTCAAGTGGATCTGTTTTTCTTCTCCCTGACTTCCCTGCATCCCCTCCAATTAAACAAATTAAAATCTGGCCCTGTCTATTTTGTCTCTCCATCTGCACCCAGCTTTCAATTACCCACGGCTGGACTATTTGTGGCAAGCATCCAACCAGGGGTTCTATCACCCAGAATGTTTCTGAGCATAGACTGACCAGCAGCCGCTGCAGGCTCAGAGAGCATGAACTCATTTGATTATCAGCGGGGGCCAGACATTTGGAAGGGAAATCTGCCAAGAGAAAATCACACAGTGGCGTTCCTCAGCCAGAGAGGATCAGCATTTGTATAACGATTTGTTTCTGACCCTCTGTGTCCCTGCCTCCCTCCGCCCATTCCTCAGTATGGGTAGTGATGACACAGCTGTTTCTCCAGGCAACTTCAAGAGCAGATGTCACTCCTGCTTTCCAGGGGCATTGTTCTGCCATCCCCTCTCATTTGCACTCTGGCGGGGCGTGAGGGGCTGGGCTGTGGAGGAGGTCGGCACAGCCACGTGAGCCGGCGGCCGAGGCACTGAAGGCCAGGCCATGTCTAGACAATCTCTGCATTCACTGCAGTCCAGAGCCCACACTCCATTATCTGTATAAATGGAGCAGAAAATTCAAAAGCCATAACAGTGGTTTCTGGCATGCCGTATCTAGGTCGAGTGCCTTCCTCTCTAGTTTACCTTCTGATTACGTTTTGTTTAAAGCAGCATTTCCCGTGCGGGTGTTCTGTGGAACACTGTTTGGGAGATGTCAAGGGGAGGATCAAGTTCACTTGAAGAAAGATGCATACTCTATTCCCTTTTGAAAACACACAATAATAGTACAGTAAAAGCACTGCGAAGGTGCTGTTTTTGGTACCAACACCAGTTCAATTTCATTTAATGCTGTAACCCCGTAATTTCTAAATTTGCTTAGGAGCAGAGCAGCAGTCTTATTTTTGTGTTGTGTTTTGTTTCTGTTTTCTTACAGAATCCCCCGGGAACCGGTATTTCAAAACCACTGTTTTAATTGCTGTTAGTAAGAGGTCTGCTCCCCAGCCAGGCTGGTGGGTGGAGGAGACGGGAGATAGGGATTGAGGCTGCCCAGTCCTGAGGGCGGCCCAGCTGGAGGACAGGCCTGGCCTGGGTGAGGAGTGCAGGTGGCGCTGTTAGTGGGGCCGGTACCTCTTGGTGCTGCACGCATCCGGGCAGGTGGGGCACTTCTCACAAGTCTCCCCAAAGGCCCCAGGTTCGGTGCACTGGCACTGCCCACAAAGGCAGAGCCCGCGGTCGCTGCAGATCTGGCCATCTCTGGCGCGGCACGTGTTGATGTCTGTCGAGCAGTTACAGTTGTCCCCGATGTAACCTGCGTGGCACTTGCACTCCCCGCAGTGACACTCACCATGGCCTAAAAGGACACACGAGGCACATCAGGGCCTGCCTACCTTTATGCATGAACAGGTAACCTTCCAGTGCCTGCCACGTACCAGGCAGTAGGGATCTGGCAGAGAATGGAACACTGACTCTACCCGCTGAGTCTGTTTGGGGAGACGAACAGAGGGCGTGGTGCTGGCATGTACGGGGTGCTGGTGGGGCCTGCTTGGGTCTGGGCTGGTGCTCCAAGTTGGTCCGGAACTTAGCCAAGTCATACCATGGGGCCAGGACCCAGGACAGCTTCCTCTTGCCTTGGCTCTATGAATAATAGCCCACATATGTTCACACCCGAGCCCAGAGCCTGGTTGTTACTTTCTATGGCAAAAGAGACTTTTACAGACAAGAAGTGAGGGTTTGAAGATGGATCATCCAGGTGGGCCCTAAATGCAATGGCAAAGATTCTCTAGAGAACCTAAAGAGGGAGATCCGACTCCAGAGGAAGACGGTAAAGATTCATCAGAAGCAAGATGCTCCCTGCTGGCTTTGAGGCTGGGGAAAGGGCCAAAGGTCATGGAGCGTGAGGAATGCAGCTCTAGAAGCTGGAAAGGCAAGACACATGGCTCTGGTTTCCCCCGAGAGCCTCAGAGGGTGCGTGGCCCTGTGGACATCTTGACTTTAGCCCAGTGAACACAATTTCAGGCTTCTGCCCTCTAGAACTACAAGAGAATACATCTAGGTTGCTTTAAGTCACTAAATGTGTGCTGATTCATCACAGCCACAAGAGAACGATCACAGTTGCTCTCCCTCAGTCCTAGTCAGATGCTGAATTCTTGCTCTGGCCTTGGGCTGATGATTTAGGGGCAGATGCCGAGAACAACCACAGGGGCAGTGGCAGCCAACACTTAAGAGTGCTTTCCTGGCCGGGTTTGGTGACTCAGCCTGTAATCCCACGCTTTGCAAGACCGAAGTGAGTGAATTGCCTGAGTCCACGGATTTGAGACCCGCCTGGGCAACTTGGCGAGGCCTCATCTCTACAATAAATAAAAAAAAATTAGCCAGGCGCAGCAGTACACACCTGTAGTTCCGGCTGCTTGGAAGGCTGAAGCAGAAGGATCGCCGGAGCCCAGCAGGTTGAGGCTGCGGTGGCTGGGAGCGGCCACTGCATTCCAGTCTGGGCGACAGAGTGAGACTCCAACTCAAAAAAAAAAAAAAAAAGAGTGCTTTCCTGTGGTGGCTCATGCCCGTAATCCCAGCACTTTGAGAGGCTGAGGTAGAAGGATTGTTTGAGCCCAGGAGTTTGAGGTCAGCCTGGGTAACACAGTGACTCATCTCTGCTAAAAAAATTTAAAAAGTTAGCCAGTCGTGGTGGCATATGCCTGTAATCCCAGCTACTTGGGAGGCTGAGGAGGAAGGATTGTTTGAGCCCAGGAGTTTGAGGATGCAGTGAGCCGTGACTGTTACTGCACTCCAGCCTGGGTGAAAAAGTGAGACCTCGACTCAGAACAAAAAAAAGTGCTTTCCAGATAAATGCTTTATCTGGAAACACAATGAATTCTCACTACAGCCCTATGAGGTGGGTATTATACCATCCTCCTTTTACAAGTGATGAAACTGAGACACAGAAAGAAAGAGCAGTGGGTAAAGGTCACAAAGCAATGGCAGGAGAGCCAGAACTCGAACCCGGGGCATCTGACTCCAGAGTCCATAGTCTGAGTGCTAGGAGCTATGAGCTCAGCCCGGCCAAGCCGAGAACCTGCTGAGGGACACCCTGGCTCTCCCTTGCAGGGGACGCAGCCAGGCATCACTTTGAGGCTTTGCAGGTGTCAAGGGCAAGAGTCTCACTCAGCTCAGAGGGGTGTGGAATGTGTGTGTGTGTGTGTGTGTGTGTGTGTGTGTGTGTGTGTGTGTGTGTGTGTATGTGAGGAAATGTGTTTGAGTATGTGAGAGTGGGGCTGAGAGTCAGCGTTTGAGACAGTGTTTGGGGTGTGTCTGAATGCAAGACTGTGAATTTCAGTGCAAGAGTATATGAGGGAGTGTTTGTGAGGGTTTGAGTGTGAGTGTGTGAGTGTGTTTCAGGGTATGAGTGTGTGTGTGTTGGACCATGAAAAGCCTGGATGGTGCCATCTTCCAAGGGGACCGAGGGCCTGACAGTGGGTTCTCAATTTTCTACACTATCAGAGGTGGAATGCGGTGCTAAAAATGGCACTTAATTTTTTGAAAATCTACTCTGTGCTATTTTTGCAGCATACATTTTTCTTCCTCATGCGATTTTAACACCGCTGAGAGTTTGCAGTTACTGAGTTACCATTACCATAAACTAGGGAGCCCGGGGAGGTAGGGGGTGGGGAGCTGTAGTGGGGGAGAGATCCCTGCATTTTACTTCCACACTTGAGTCAGTTACTCACTTTGGCAGTCGGGTCCCAGCACGTTCCCTGGGCCCACCAGCGAGTGTGACCCACAATACAGGTCAGGATGTGAACTCCAGAGGACTTCTTCATTTGCCACTTAACTTCCTGCCCCCGCTGCCCTGGCTCTGTCCGTTCTCCGGTGCCTAGAAGCTGCAGGCATTTGGACAGCCATTTGGACGGCCAGGCTGCGGTACCCGCTTGTGCCTGGAGAGCCACTCCGCTCACCCAGGGGCTCAGAGCCACAGTGAATGCGTGCTGGGCGAGAGCACCCTCCCACGTCAGGCAGCACTGAGGCATATGGCGAGTCGTCTGGGAGAAGCGAGGAAAGCCAGACCCAGGCCAGGAGGCAGCTGTGGAATGCAGTCGTGACTGCCTGGAAGCAGCACATGAGGGCCAGTCTTGGGGAGGGCAGCAGCACATGCTCCTGGCCCGGGAGAAAGAGGCTGCCCTGCCCCACCTCCACCTGTCTGGGACCAGCACCAGTTTGGAGCCTTGGCAGCAGGGACCTCACACAGGAAGTCTTCACAGATACAATGGATTCAGTCCACACAACTCCCTCACTCTCTCGCCTCAGGGACCACACTGGCCAAGAGCCTGGTTTAAATTAAAGTGGTTCAGTCGGGCTCGGTGGCTCAGCCTGTAATCCCACGCTTTGGGAGGCTGAGGTAAGTAGATTGCTTGAGCCCGTGGGTTCGAGACCCACCTGGGCAACTTGGCGAGACCGCATCTCTACAATAAATC